GCTTAGGGCAGGCTCTGCTCAGATGACCAACTTCATCACAGTTGTAGCACTTGCGAGTCTCCCCTTTGACACCTAGTGTACCTGGGCTCGCAACAACCAATGTTGATCGTGCACCCGAAAACCACTCGACTCAGAGTGTAACTTCATATAACTCCTTTTGTATCATCACAACAATCACCTCATCTAGTGTAAGAATAGTTGCCTGAGCTAGACAAATCTTCTCTGATCAAAGGCGGGATTCAGATGAGCCTAGAACTACATAGTCCTCATCTGAATAAAGATCTCTCATTTCTTGCATTATGGGTCACTACATCTTGACATCGGTGAGAAGTAATGAAAATCCGCCCACTACCTCTTCAACTCTATGGAGTATTCGTGAATTGTCTTTTCAACCTGCACCACAGTTTCTATCTTCCATTGAATATGGAATACCCTCATGTGATGCTGAGCATCAACATATATCTTCTTTAACTTTACCCAGATGTCCCTCACCTTTCGAATGCCATCAACTGAGGATGTGATTGACAGAAACCATTCAGTTGAGCAGCCAGTTGTGGACTAAGGCGTGAGCGGTCCTCCACTTATCCCTCTCAGCACTGTTACTTTTTGGTTCGTCCTCAGTAAGAAATCTCTCTAGTATCTTTTCTACTAAAGCTGCCTCAATCCGACATGAATAACTCAGATAAGTGGCCGGTCAATCAAGCTTTAGATCCACGGGAGGGAGAACTAGCTTCACTTTGGTCGAAGCTTGCGTTGAAGTCGTGGTTTCGGTCAAGGCACTAGTTTCCTGTTTGAGTCCTACATGGGCCTTCAGGATCTTACGATCAATCTTTCCTAGAAGATCCAATCCTTCACTCACTACACTATCTCTTTCTCTCGTCATCTTCGATCACTTGGACTCTTTTTTAGGTCATACAAACCACGAACTATTCCCTTCTCCTTTAGACCCGATTTTTATCTATCTCATCATCAAGATTGGGATCTTCTTCATGCGGCGGTCTGACTGCAACAAGTGTGGCGGCGGCGGCAGCTTGGATAGGAGGTTGCGGCAACTATCTGGACAAACGACGACTACCTAAACAGATGGTGGTGATGGCAGGGAGGGCGACATCTTGGAAAGCGCCAGCTGACATTGGACGCGACTGAGTCTCCCGCAAATTGGACATGGGGCGCGTCTCCCTCATAGGACGCAGGTGTGTCTGCTGCACTGAACATCGTGGGTAGAAGCACGAGTGGCGGGTCCTGAAGAACATGAGTGGTGGGATGTGATCGATGCGGGCGGCTAGGGTTGGTTCTGATATCAATTTGAAAGTGAATAAGTCAAAAGTTCTCTATTTCATTCAGCATGTGTTTAAATAGAGGGTACAACATTTTACAACTAAACCTGATAAAACTCTCTTATCACACATAACTCTCAGCAGAATTAGAAAGGAAGAAGCTTAGGGCTCTAACAGATGACTAGGATTAGAGATAACTAGCTTAAGTTTATTTCATTTCACAAGTAAAAATTTATACAATCCTAAATATCTGATGTGAAAAATATAATGCCAAGTAATGAAATTATTTACAAAATTATTATATTAGTTTAAGTTTCCCGAGTTGTCACTTATAGTTCACAGGTTCGATTCTACAGCACTCATTGTAATATTGTAAGTTTACCTTTTTACATCATCCCTCATGTAATCCTTTAGTGCTTGGAGGCTCATTTACTTAATGCGCTTTTTTCCCTTAATTTTTTTTAACAAAGGCTAACATTTAAGTTATCTCATTTTTAGATAATGTTTTTGAAATGAGAATATGACGGTTAAGCTCCTTTTGCTTAACCTCTTTAATCATATAAATAGTTTATTCAAAATAGTCATTACTAGTAATAATGAGTTATTGTGAGATTTTGATTTCAGAAGGAGCTGGATTTTTAATGTTCATCTCTTACACTCCTTTCGTTGGATTTACATAACGAGTCCTCTTTTTAGAAATCACTAGTTCTTTGCATAATTCATGAGCTATTAGAATGGCTATTTAGATGTTTATTGCATGATGGCCTATTTTCGAGCTATAAATCCAGAACATAGAGATGTTAACAAGGCATAAAAAATGCAATTATTAAAGTACTATTATATATATATATATACATAATATTTATTTGTGATAACAAAGGTAAGGAGTATTATGTTGCCTTTTTGTTTCAAATGTGCTTAAGGTTGCAATTTGTAGCATCCTTGTAAATATTATTAGAAGTTAAAATCATTCTTCTGATTTTAAGCATGGGGTATTTTGATACTCCCATAATTTTTTTGTAAACATAAATAATGTTTACCCAAGTGAATAAAATTTTTGAAGTTCCACTAAATTGAACTTCATCAACTATGATGAATTTCTATGAAGTATGATTCAAAGAGTTAATGATGTATGCCATTCTATTAAGCTATAGGGGAAACTAAGAAGGCTTACAAATTATCAAATATATCTTATACATGTAAATATTCTTTTAAGAGCGAGATAGCTATTGTTTTAAGGTTGCATGGTTGGCAGCAATTTTTATAGTAGAAATTTCAACTTAGCAAAATATTTTTGATTGATTTCCTATTTGGCTAAGTCCATCATCTGAATAACGCAAGAGGCAGAAGCCTCAGATGTTATGAACTTCTAATTTGTGAAAATATACTTTCTATAGGTATAATTACGGGGTCATTTACATTGGTTTTATATTTTATCCCATTTTTTAAAATAGCACGCCATTGTTAAGTTGATATTAAAATAATAATAATAAAAAAATTTTAGTTGTTTATTGTGGACATGTTGAGGGCCTAATAAGATTTAGGATAACTACATTTTGGTGAAAAATAGAGAGAAGGGGATTATAGAAAAAGATATAATTGTCTAGAATAAAGAGAAGTGTGTCCAGTTGAGAGAAGGAGAGAAGGAGAGACTAAGTGAGATGAAAGGAGATAATCTCTTAAGAGCAAGCTCAGTGCATGAAGTTCAAATTCTGGGCTCGCCCTATCCTTGAACCTCTTATTTCTTTATTACTTTTTCTTTCCCAAAACTGACAGTGTGATTGGAAGAAACTTCAACCATAGTGTTTGATGGTTTGGTGAAAAGTGTTCGGTGGCATTTTAAACTATGGTTGCTTGTGAGGCTATTTGCTTCTAGGAGATTTTGATTTTATTGGCGATTTAATGCGGCCTACACCATGATACATTGATGATCTTATAGGTAATGGCAATGTGGGGTGGGGGGCGCAGTGGCAATGTAACATTAACAATTTGAAATGAAGATACTGTTATGAGAGAAAAGTAAACACAATAGTAACAACACTAATAGCATAATAAGATTTATGATCTATTTAACAACTGCATAAATTATGTGTATGAAGTAGGACTTCTGAGGATGATAAATTCATAAAAATTATTATGAAATAACTAAATGATAGCATCTTGGCATTTCTAATCAAATTCATTGTTATAGGAATGATGTCAATTGTGAATGACAATTCAAGAAAAATTTACGTAACACTAAAATATTCTTTATTTACAAAACTAACATCTAATTATTTAAAATGGACTAGCTAACCTCTTTATGTGTTTAAATGTAGGGGAATTTCGTAGATAACTTTCTAAATTATCACATTTGCATATTTAACACCTAAAATTTTGTAGTTACTTAACATAGCACTTTGTTATCTTCTTAACGTAACCTTCGACGACAAAGAGGAAGTTGCAACTGGAAGTGATGTTATCTCACTACAGATGACGAAAAGATGAGGAAGTCAAAACGACATCTCTTCAATGATAAAGCGGACGAGGAAGTCATGATGGGATCTCAATAGGATAGATATTCACATGACTGATTATCGTGAGTGAGGAGGAAGAGATGAGAAAGTCACGACAAGAACTTGATGAGGAAGGGGATGAACGAACTTGCGGTGTATGGTGGAAGAAGATGTAAAAGAAATGGCGATGAGATCTTGTTGGTGAAGGGGGCGATTGGATCGGAGGTGTGTGTGAAAGGAGGAGTTCAATGATGGATTGTAATGGAGAGAATAAGAAGGTTGTTATTTGAAGTGTTGAGTGCTATTGAGTAAATAGGAAGCTTTTGGTGTTTAATATTCAAATAAGACAGTTTTAAGCTCAATGCATGTAAATCCCTCTTCTATGTAATATGTCGAAATCATTAAAAATTAAATAAAGATAACACTTTAGAAGGGTATTTTTCTTATAGTTTAATGATTTGGGTTGTGACATTGAAGTACATAAATTTGGGCTTTATAAACAAAAAATTTAAAGTTTGTACTTTTGTTAATTTTGAAAAGTGTCAAACGTAAGTCAAGAAAATAGAACTACCTAATACGTGAGATTAAGTGCAACCAAAGGCACTCGTCCAACAATGTGGGCACTAAATAATTAAATAGAAATACCATTATTAATTTATTTTAACCATGGAACAATTTGAAGTGTATAATATGATAATCTTCTGATAAATTATGATGGGATTCAATTTTATTCCAAATTAAAAAATGTTGCTAATTTGATTGTTTTAACTTAATATAGTCAAACTGCTTAAGTTTATAAGACGTGTATCTTAGGTTAGGTACAACCACTCTTTATGACTATCTATTTCATCTTCATCATATTCTTGCTCTGAAAGTTTAAAATTTTTATTGCCCAATTATTTGGATGATATTGTTTAACTGCTTATGCCAATTATGAGGTGCATCTTGTCATAATAGACTTTTTGATGCATGGTATTTTTACTCAACTTATACATTTTAATCATGCCTCATGTCAGCAGTGAGGAGGGTAAATGAGAAGTATAAAATATGTTTGTTACTTTCATGCTCTGCATTGTTTCTCTCTTTCTACATGTAAAATGTTCCATCAACATCACATACGGAATATTTTATTATTTTCCTTAGGTTTGTTTAAATTTTTGCTATTATTTGTGAGACTTTGCTTATATGTGAATTTAAGGATTAGTGTTATATATGATTTTTTTTTCAGTGTATAAGAAGCATTATCCACCATTACTGTTTGATGAAGTCTGGCGCCTTGAGAAGATTGGTAAAGATGGCGCTTTCCACAAGCGTTTGAGCAGTGAGAACATCCACACCGTTAAAGATTTCTTAACTTTGCTGGTCACAGACCTTTCGAGACTCCGAAATGTATTGCTCAGTTTCTTTCAGTCATCGTAGCACTTAATTTGATCTATTACTCACACCTGCAGCATCCATTGTTATTAGGGGCATTTACATACATACCACCTAATTCTTATCTATTTACAGTTATAACATCTAAACTTTGATTTTTACATTTATAATTCTCAAATCTTTCATGCCACATAGAAAGCACCGCTATTTTAACTTCTAATTAGTGAAATATGCTTTTTTTTTGCATAGGTAAGCTGGCTTATATGTAAAAGTTAAAGTTTAGGTGTTAGATGTGTAAATACATAAGAATTGTGTGGTATGCGTGCAATTTTTCCTTATCATTATTATTATAATAATTATTATTAGGGGCATTTACATACATACCATATATTTCTTATCTATTTACATATCTAACACTTAAACTTTGAATTTTACAATCAGGCCACTCAAATCTTTTATTTCACATAGAAAAACACTACTATTTTAACTTTTTTTTTTTTAAGTGAAATGCACCTTTTGATGCCTAAGTAATATGACATATATGTAAAAATTGAAGTTTAGGTTCTAGATATGTGAACCTAAACTTGAGTGGTATGCCTGTAAATCTTCCTTTGATAAATATTTACAGCTCCTAGAAAATATGAGAGAATACAAAAAAGGTGTTAGCGAAGTTGTGGGATGGGTCTCGGGTGTGGGAGGATGGATGTCGGCTGGATTCCGACATGAATGGCAAGATGGCAGCGAGCTGAAATCATTTAGCCTGAAGCTGAAAACTGCTGCTTTCCTGCTGCCAAACAGCAGTTTGCTGCAGTCACAGCGTCCAAACAGCGAAGCGGCGGGGTATGGGTGGTGATGAGGTTCCGCCGTCTGTTCTTGAGCAAGATATAGGTACATCACTTGCAAAAGAAAATGATAAATCTCTCCGAAGAGCATAAAACAGTTAACATAATCTCCAAAACAAAAACTCAATAGAAAGAAGTTCTCTAAATAGCAAAAGCATATGCATAAATAGTCACCTAATAGGACATACCCTAATTAGAAATAAGAAAATAGGAAAGAAATAAAATGAAAAGAAAGATAGAAATAAAATTGGGGAAAAAATGCAAACCAACACTTTATTTCCCAACCGTGATCACAACTTTCTCGTGATCCCGCATTTTGTGGAATTTCGCATACAACGAAATGTAGTATCGATGCCCGCGTCATTCTATCCGAGTAGGAGAGGCTTATTCTTCTTTTCTAGAAATATCTTGATCACACGATCTGTATTATTTCCCATGAAACACTTATAGATATTTTCATAGCGTCGGTTCACCACTCATATCTGACAATCTATTTGTGAGTGTGCCACTGAAGTGAAATGGAATTTTGTACCTAGCTTATTCTATTGTGCCTTCCAGAAACCACTTAGAGACTCCCCAACTTTATCTAAAATAATGAGATGCTGGATCATTCTTAGTGGGGACTGTTATGTATTTGGTATCATTGTATCAGTCTCTTGAATGCATCACCTTTTTGGGTAACCAATGATAGTCTTGTTGGTGACATGCAAAAAGATAGTTTGTGTCACAACCTCCTCAAATACCTCACACTCCTTCCAAGACAAGTATACAATGCACTTCCCATTTTTTGTGAAAGAGTGTTATGATAAGTGCAACAATCATTCTGCCAAGGACAACTTAATAGGATGTGACACATATCCATAGATACCATGTCATACCACACTTGCTCTGGAAATTTCTCTAATAGAAAACTCCATGAGGTACCTCTTGTCAACATTGATTTCACTCCCCTTCTTTAGCCAAGTCTTAATATAGACGAGAATATTTTTAAGTAGTGCGGCTCAATTTATCCACCAACCATGAAGACATCACATTTCACAAATGCCTCCATCTATAGTGAGGATGTAGACCCTTCCTTCCACGGTTTAACGAGTATGAAAGATGTTTTGGTGAAGCCATTGTTGCTCTCTCGTGGGCTCGGTCTAAAGGACAAATCAGATTACTAGCATCTCTGTAAATTCATAAATGTAAAAAATTAATCTTAGGTTTTTGGATGTGTAAATTCATAAGAATTCAGTGGTATGTATGTAAATATTCCTTATTAGTACTATTATTATTAGGGGCATTTACATGCAAAAACACAATTCTTATATATTTAGATTATCTAACTCCTATACTTTGATTTTTATATATATACCACACAAATCTTTCATTTCACATAAAAAATACCTCTATTTTGACTTTTAAAATGTGAAATGCATCTTTTCTTGTATAGGTGAGATGGCATATATGTACAATTTGAAGTTTAGCTGTTAGATATGTGAATATGTAAGAATTGAGCGGTATGCATGTAAATCTTCTTTATTGTTATTATTATTTATCTATGTAATGCAGATACTAGGCAATGGAATGTCAGCTAGGATGTGGGAGAGCACAGTGGATCATGCTCGGACTTGTCCGCTCACCAACCAAATGCATTTATACTATGCTGATGATCTACAGAAAACGGGGATTGTCTTCAACGTAATTGGTGAAGTAATGGGTATTCTGATGGACCAGCAATTTGTCCATGTTAATGACTTGTCAGATGCCCAAAAGGTTGGTTTTTCACTAAATTTTTGTTCTCTTTCACATCTCCTCTTGATACACGGACATCTCCTCTTGATACACGGATTTTTTTGACATATCACCCTATTCCTTTTTATTTACATCTCTAACACCTAAACTTTACTTCTTACATTTATACTACCTAAATCTTTCATATCACATAAAAAATCCAGTCTATTAAAATTTTAAAAAAACTTGAATACACCTTTTCATGCATGGGGAAGGTGATATCTACGTAAAAAATTTAAGTTTAGGTGTTAGATATGTAATTACCTCAAGTATGTATGCAAATCTTCCTTCTTTTTTTTTCCTCCTCCAGTTTGATTAGCCCGATTTGGACGATTGCTAATCAAACTGGAGGAGAAAAAAAGGAAGATTTGGATACATACCACATAATTTTTATATATTTATGCATCTAACACCTAAATTTTATTACTTATATAATACCACAATCTTTAACGTTATATCAAAAATAAGTTAATGTTGGAGTAGTCCCTTGACTGTTTACATTGGGCCATTTTAGTCTTATAGTTTATAGAAGTATCAAATTATTCTCCACAATCTTTAAATTAGTGCTGAAATAGTCTTTTGCTGCGATTATTTCAGGCAATTTTAAAAGTTTATGGGGATTATATTGATAATTTTATAGATTTTGGGATTAAAATAACCCCACCTTAAAGAATCGGGAGACTATTTTGACAAATTAATCTGTAAATAAATATCACTAATATTAAATTTCTATCAGGAGTTATTTTAAATAAATATTAAAGTTTAGATGTTAGATATGTA